CAGGATGTGGTGGACACCTTCTCCATGAAGCTCTAGTGGCTGTTTCGATCTCAGAGGTCACTCTGGGCTCAGTTTTTACTGGGCAAGTATTGTAAGGGGACGCACCCTTCACTTGCAGCAGTTCCCAGTTCAGCTTCCCCTACCTGGAAGAGGCTGAAATCAGTTGGACCACGGACGGATCCACACATTGCTTGGCACCTTGGAACCGGTCAGATTTTCTTCTGGCATGATTGTTGGATGGGCGAGTCCACGTTGGCATCCCTATTCCCCCACAGACAGCACACATCTGCGAGGGTACAGGATTTTTTTGACGACACTGGGTGGGATTTTGGACGGTTATTACAGGCCCTTCCTTCTCACATGGCCGAACAGGTAGGGGCGATACCTTTATGTGCAGATGCCACGGACCGAATTGTTTGGAAAATTACTTCGGATGGTGACTTTACCACCAAATCAGCATGGCAACTAGTCCGTTCGGTTCACCAGCCTCAGGACTCATATCGACTGCTGTGGAGCTCTATCTTGCCTACCACTACTTCATTCTTCTGCTGTAGACTGTGGCAGGATCTCGTTCCAGTAGATGTTGTTATTCAGAGGAGAATTGGATGTCAGTTAGCTTCTCGTTGTCAGTGTTGTTCCGAGATTGAGACCATTAATCATATTTTCACGAGCAGCAGCATCTCTGACCAGGTATGGCAGCACTTTGGAGACATCTTTCAGATACCTATGACTTCAGGGGAGGGGGTCAGACAGAGGTTCCAGAGATAGTGGTATTCTGGACAGTACATTTACCGTGGACACATTCGTATTATCATTCCTCTACTGTTATTTTGGTTTCTATGGACTGAGAGGAATGATGCGAAGCATAGAGGTATTCGTATGGTGGCCAGACGTATTATTTGGAGGTTCTACCGCATGATCTCCTTTCTTCATATGGGAGGACTATTCCGAGTTGAGCATTGGCGAGGAGATGTGACACTTGCACCCTTTTTTGGAATTTCTTTGACCCGTCCTCTCCCACCACCACCTATTATGGTTGTTTGGCGCACTCCACTAGTGGGATCCTTCAAGATCAACACTGATGGATGCGTCAAAGATGGATTTGCAAGTGGTGGAGGCATCATTAGGGACTACGCAGGATACTGTATCAGGGCATTCTCAGCATCCTATGGCCCATGTTTCATTTTGGAAGCGGAGCTCAGAGCCATACTAGATGGGCTTCTATTGGCCAGAGGACTTGGGATTTCAGCTATCTGGCTTGAGGCAGATTCAACATTGGCTATTCACTGCATCACCAAAGGTGGAGGACCATGGTCGATCCAGGGTATTCTCAGACAGATCAGAGACTTCATTTGCTTCGATAGAGACACAGTTTCTCACATCTACAGAGAGGGTAACCAGGTTGCAAATTCTCTTGCTTCAGAAGGCTGGGATCACCAGCGCTACCAAGAATATGGACCACTTGACCTGCCTCGACGGATTAGGGCATTGGTACAAATCGACAGATATGGATTGCCCAGCTTTAGAGGTTTGTAGTTTAGGCAATCATTATTTCATTTTTCTTGTACAAGGAAGTAGTACTTCCTCATTTACTTTATTCGTTTTTAATATTTCATTTGTTGCACTGTTGCTTTTTGGAGGTCAGGTTTATGCCCCCCTCCTTCCCTGTACTTTTGATTTCTATGAAATAAACATGGTTGGGGAACCCTTAACCCCCATCGACCTTCCTTGGTGGACCCTAAAAAGTCATTAAGGATGTGTGGATGTCTTTATTAAAAAAAAAAAAACCCTAAACCCAAAACCCAAAACCCTAAACCCTACACCCTAAACCCCTAAACCCTAAACCGCATTGAATCGAAATATTCTCCGTGTGAATCGGCGTTCTTCCTCCAATGGCTTCACCCACTCTCAAGCGATGGCTCAGGCCTGAGGTTTATCCTTTGTTCGCGGCCGTCAGAGTGGCTGTTGGGATTTGCGGAATGCAATTGGTCCGAAATATTTGTACCAATCCTGAAGTCAGGGTGACCAAGGAAAACAGGGCTGCTGGTGTCTTGGATAACTTTGCCGAAGGGGAAAAGTATGCTGAGCATGCTCTTCGGAAGTTCGTCCGGAACAAGTCTCCTGAAATCATGCCTACCATCAACGGCTTCTTCACTGATCCTAAATACTGATTTGGTGAAAATTATGATATTTTTACATATGATTGAACTTAATCCTATATGTGATTGGATACAACATCAAATTCGAAAAATTGCAACTGACTGGAAATTCAATATGATGTCTTCATCATTCAACAACTGCATATTCATGGAATTACTTGTTTTGTTTAAAAAAAAAAAAAAAAACCCCTAAACCCTAAACCTAAAACCCTAAACCCTAAAACCCTAAACCCTAAACCCTAAACCCCAAACCCTAAAACCCTAAACCCTAAACCCCAAACCCTAAACCCTAAACCCTAAACCCTAAAACCTAAAACCCAAAACCCTAAACCATTGGATTGTGGAATTCCAATCCCTCCTTTCATGGAGGTTTCTTCTTCTCCAATCATGGAGTGTCCCTTTCTTCTCAATTAATGAATTCTAACATGGTATCAGAGCAGAGTTCTTCCTGCTGCTGTTTGTCTCTAAGATTTTCATCTTCTCTTTCTGTGTTCTGCAAAAATGAAAGCAAATCTCTAATTTCCTTTATTTTAGCATAATTCTGGAAAATGTTAATCCAGCAAAATGTTCAGTTCCTGTCTTCAGAAAATGGCGGCAGCAACATCATAATCCTTCCTTGATTCTCTGCAATAAAATTTATCCTCTTTCAGATTTTGGTTCTCTGAACTTTCAGAGATCTTTATGGATGGTCAGAGCCTCCACTATTTCTTGTTTCTCTATCAGATCTGGTGACATATGGCTGGAATTAAGAACTGAAGGCATCATCTCCAAGTGAAGCAGAGCCAAAATTCTTTAATCTTCAAGATGGACTATTGTTGATCTCCATAGTCCATCTTGAGGGGGTGTGTTAGAAATATGTTCTAGCAAATTCAGAATATTCCAGCTATATTTGTTAGGTTGTCAATTAGTTAGTGATTGTTAATTAGTTAGTGATTAGCCTATTAATCAGCAAATTAGTCAGTTAATTGCTCTTCTTTATCTCTATAAATTGAGTCATTGTATTCATTAATAAAATATTGGATTGTGGAATTCCAATTCCTCCTTTCATGGAGGTTTCTTCTTCTCCAATCATGAAGTGTCCCTTTCTTCTCAATTAATGAATTCTAACATGGTATCAGAGCAGAGTTCTTCCTGCTGCTGTTTGTCTCTAAGATTTTCATCTTCTCTTTCTGTGTTCTGCAAAAATGAAAGCAAATCTCTAATTTCCTTTATTTTAGCATAATTCTGGAAAATGTTAATCCAGCAAAATGTTCAGTTCCTGTCTTCAGAAAATGGCGGCAGCAACATCATAATCCTTCCTTGATTCTCTGCAATAAAATTTATCCTCTTTCAGATTTTGGTTCTCTGAACTGCCCTCTTCCAGATGATCACAACCATGGTCGCCGTTCAGCATATGGAGCCTCCGATCGATCGGAATTGCATCTGAAAGTCCCACCTGCGCTGCCTGCCGATTTTCAATTTTTCGGCACCTCCGGTGGGACCCACGATCGCGGACCACTGCCGGTCGGTAGCCCTTCTCCAGACGATCATAACCATGGTCTCCACTCACCATTTGGAGCTCCCAATCGACCGGAATTGCACCTGCAAGGTCCGCCTGCGCTGCCTGCCAAATCGCTGCCTCCCTTTCATTTTTTCGGCGCCACCAGTGGGACCCACAGTGGCGGACCACCCCATACCGACTCCTCTCGGCGCCACCAGTGGGACCCACAGTGGCGGACCACCCCATACCGACTCCTCTCATCATGGGCAACATCCATATCATATGGGTCTTCCTCAATTTCATCCCAATCTCGCGAATCGAACGGATCCAATCCCTCAAGGTCAAAAGTCCGATTCTCTCTTAATTGACCCCACAAATGTGTTCGATTCTGCAATTAAATGTGGGGTAAATGAAATTCAAGCCCCAAATACTCTGGGTAATGTTCCAATTGCTGAGATTACATCATTAATTTGCCGAATTTTGGAATCAAATGGTGTTCTTCACACCTCTAGCGCTGCTGGTCAGATTTCTTCCATTTCTGAGCATTATTTGAGAAAATTGACACCTCCGATGAACTCAGAAGGTCCAAAAACATCAGAAGGGCCTATCAATTCGACCAAAAATATTACATTGGATTTCGTGCCAAAATGCACACAAATCGAGGCAGTTGGTACTGCTGTTTCTTGCCAGAATTCTGTATTTTTGACACTGCCATCATCTCCAGAGCATATGAAAACCTTTGGAGAGACCATTGCTCCAGCTGAAACTGACGAAAAATCTGCATTGGGAAACGTGCCAAGTGGCACACATACCGAGGCACATCCTTCTAATGTTTTTGGACCTCCTTTGATCCCAGGAACTGCACCACTGGCTCCAAATCATGGAAAAACCCCAAGGATCAACACTTTACCGCCTAGTACATCCCAAACTGCGCGTACCATCAACGCGCGAGTCCCTCCTGCACGTAAGCAACCCCCACCACCACGTGCAACGGTCAGAAATAGTCTATCAAGAGGGTCTTAGACTGTTTGGAGCATTATGAAGGAGTTTCTGGCCAATTGGTGAATAGAGACAAGAGCGGTATTATACTATCCAGACGGGTATCCACTAGTCAGATCAGACGACTAGAGATTTTGATGGGCTTCAGACATCAGCAGCAGCCTTTCACTTATTTGGGTGTCCCCTTATTCAAGGGGACTAAGAGGAGCTTCCTTTATGATGACCTTATCCAAAAGATAAGGGATAGGATATCAGGCTGGGCCTCACGATTACTATCGCCTGGGGGTCGTATTACATTACTGAGGTCAGTACTTTCTTCCATACCTTTACATCTTCTTCAGATTATGCAGCCGCCCAAGACAGTGCTCAAGAAACTTGAGAGCATCTTTGCCCGATTCCTATGGGATTCTAAGGACCAAGCACGACGTCTATATTGGAGGAGTTGGAAGAAGATTTGCCTTCCTACTGATGAGGGAGGCCTCGGCTTTAGGAGATTACAGGATGTGGTGGACACCTTCTCCATGAAGCTCTGGTGGTTGTTCCGATCTCAGAGGTCACTTTGGGCTCAGTTTTTACTGGGAAGTATTGTAAGGGGATGCATCCTTCACTTGCAGCAGTTCCCAGTTCAGCTTCCCCTACCTGGAAGAGGCTGAAATCAGTTGGGCCACGGACGGATCCACACATTGCTTGGCACCTTGGAGCCGGTCAGATTTTCTTATGGCATGATTGTTGGATGGGCGAGACCACGTTGGCATCCCTATTCCCCCACAGATCGCACACATCTGCGAGGGTACAGGATTTTTTTGATGACACTGGGTGGGATTTCGGACGGTTATTACAGGCCCTTCCTTCTCACACGGCGGGACAGATAGGGACGATATCTTTATGTGCAGATGCCCCGGACCGAATTGGTTGGAAAATTACTTCGGATGGTGAATTTACCACCAAATCAGCATGGCAACTAGTCTATTCGAGTCGCCAGCCTCAGGATTCATATCGACTGCTGTGGAGCTCTATTTTGCCTGCCACTATTTCATTCTTCTGCTGGAGACTATGGCAGGATCTCATTCCAGTAGATGTTGTTATTCAGAGGAGAATTGGATGTCAGTTGGCTTCTCGTTGTCAGTGTTGTTCCGAGATTGAGACCATCAATCATATTTTCACGAGCAGCAGCATCTCCGACCAGGTATGGCAGCACTTTGGAGACATCTTTCAGATACCTATGACTTCAGGAGAGGGGGTCAGACAGAGGTTCCAGAGATGGCGGTATTCTGGACAGCACGTTTGTCGTGGACACATTCGTATTATCATTCCTCTACTGGTATTTTGGTTTCTATGGACTGAGAGGAATGATGCGAAGCATAGAGGTATTCGTATGGTGGCCAGACGTATTATTTGGAGGGTCTACCGCATGATCTCCTTCCTTCATATGGGAGGACTATTTCGAGTGGAGCATTAGCGAGGAGATGCGACACTTGCATCCTTTTTTGGAATTTCTTTGACCCGTCCTCTCCCACCACCACCTGTTATGGTTGTTTGGCGCACTCCACCTATTGGATCCTACAAGATCAATACCGATGGATGCGTCAAAGATGGATTTGCAAGTGGTGGAGGCATCATTAGGAACCACGCAGGATACTGTATCAGGGCATTCTCAACATCGTATGGAACATGTTTCATTTTGGAGGCTGAGCTTAGAGCCATACTAGATGGGCTTCTATTGGCCAGAGGACTTGGGATATCAGCTATTTGGATTGAGGTAGATTCAATGCTGGCCATTCACTGCATCATCAAAGGTGGAGGACCATGGACGATTCAGGGTATTCTAAGACAGATCAGAGACGTCATTTGCCTTGACAGAGACACAGTTTCTCATATCTACAGAGAAGGTAACCAGGTTGCAGATTCTCTTGCTTCAGAGGGTTGGGATCACCAGCATTACCAAGAATATGGACCACTTGACCTGCCCCGACAAATTAGGGCATTGGTGCAGATCGACAGATATGGATTGCCCAGCTTTAGAGGTTCGTAGTTTAGGCAATCATTTTTTCATTTTTCTTGTACAAGGGAGTAGTACTTCCTCATTTACTTTGTTCATTTATAATTTTTCATTTGTTGCACTGTTGCTTTTTGGAGGTCAGGTTTATGCCCCCCTCCTTTCCTGTACTCTTGATTTTTATGAAATAAACATGGTTGGGGAACCCTTAACCCCCATCGACCTTCCTTGGTGGACCCTAAAAAGTCA